CATTTCACAGGAGAAGCCAGGCTTTTCATTTTTCAGTCATTTTGGAATAGTTGATGCTAGAATAATTCTGTCTCATTCTGGAGTGGAAAAAACAGAGCATCTTGATGCCAAGAACTCATTGCTTTCATAGTATGAGCATTCTGCATTTTTTCTTTCACATTTTGTTCCCCATCCACTGAAAAAATTAACACCAAAAACACCCTCTAAAGTGACAGAAATAAGGGTTCTGTTTATCTGATTACATTAATGTGTTGAATAATAACTATAATAAAATCTCAGAATGCTTCATTACTAATTAACATAATGTATCTGCAGACCTTAATATCTGAAGGCCCCATGTTATCTGTAATATTACCATGGCAACATTTAAGGTGGTATCTTGGCAAGTGGGTGAACTTGAATTTCCAAAGGGGAAATTGTCACAATGATGCTCCTGATACTGTAGAAACTTAAAATATACCATAAGTATAGCTTACATGTAGTTAAAAAAAAAAAAATGTAAATAGGAAAAAAGTTGTAGAGTCTCATGCACACACATACACACACTACAGTAAAAAAAATAAATTGCAGCTTGTGGTGGAACCGTTCCGCATGGGCTTCCTTGTGCGGAGCGATGCATATCACCCAATGGTCCCCTTTTCCAGCAAGTCTTCCAGTGCTCTGTCAAGGCAGGTATTAGAGCTCAAAACCAATCCTTCCCAGCTATCCCAAACCATGAGTCGGAACTTTGTGTAGGGTGAAATGAATTGATCTTTATTAAACACAGCTCAGTATATACAGCTTCACCCCCACCCGGCAGCCTGGCACCGGGCTTTCCCCACCCGCAACAAAACCCTACAACACAACAATTCAGTATGAACTCTATAGAAGTGAAAGACTACAAGGTCACATTTCCCTAAACAAACCGTGTCGAATGTCTGCCTATTTAACAGCTGCTAAACATATACAGCTTTACAAAGGGGAGAAAACTGAAACCGAAAGGGCAAAATGTTATCACAAATGGACGGTTCGTCACACAGCTTACCAATTTTTTTTTTTTTATGGTGATTGCATTAGTTTACTTTTTAGGCTTTTTACAGACCAAGCTGTCCAGGCAAAGCAGCAGTTGGAGGGTTGAGACAAACCATTCAACAATGATGTATTTTTACATTTTGTGCAAAACTGTTATCCGGAAAGGAAAAAAGGTTTGCTGTAACTACCTAAAAAATTGTAAGCTGGAGTCCAGTTTATATGTTTTTTTTGTCAGTCAAGTCCATTTAAATCTGCTAGTCTAAAGCTGGCCATAGAATTGTTTTTTTTTTTTTTTGGGCTGAACATAGTCCTGCTTTCTAGATTGACAGCACATTCTTACATGGCTCACTCAGAGGGTGTGTGTGTTTTTTTTTTTTTTTTTGTTTTTTTTTTGCATCATTCTTTCTGCATTATACGTCTCCCAGATAAAATGTGTTCTAATTAAATTGGAACTGCACTACATCTGTGCACCACAAACCAAAAATGCTATATAAATAATTTTGTCAAATTCAAAGCAAACTCCCCCATCCATCTCTGCTTTATTTAGCTAAGAAATCATTTTAAAAAACGCCCCTGACATTTCAGGCAGTGTCCGTCTTGAGTAAGGGCAGATAATTAATGTATCATTACTTCCTGGAATTTATCTTCCCTTAGCTCAGGCATAGGCTGAGCTGAGAAACATCCCTCCTGTCCTGAAGACTATTGGGATGTATGCCATCGTTTGCCTAGGCATGGAAACCTGTAAGTAAATGAAGAAATGTGAAGGAAAAAAAAAAGTTTAAAACCAGTAAATATAATATTCCTTCCTGTGTATTTACTAATGCTAGCGCATAAGGATTAAAGATAGTCCATGTTGATTGAGAAAGTGAAGTTCCGCTTTAAATAGTGATTTTGTTTTTTTAACTGCACCCTCGATCACTAGTATTCCAGGAAAGTGTAGAACTGAGCATGGATGGGTGTGAAGTTGTTTTTCAGAATGTTTTAATGATAAATATTCCAATACATTTTTTTTTTATAAATATTTATGATAAATATTGCAATACTTTTTTTAATACTTTTTGACTTTCTACTGTGTACATTTCCCCATGTTGAATACTAGCATTCACCTAACATACTGTTCAAACAAAGCATCTACTACTTTAGCAGTGGCTTTGGGTATTGGATATCATCTGATGTGCTGTCTGTTTTGCTTTTGGGTAGTTTTTATCCACATCTTCCACAAATCACTTTACTGGTAATCCCTGTGGCTGCTGCAAGTGTATTACATACTGCAGTGTTTACCACAACAGCACACAGATGCTTTAACTGCTGTAGTTCATTGTACACATGAGGCCATACAGCAGAAATTGTAGGCATACTGCTCATGCTCAGGAGACACAGCTGCCCATAGTAATGAATGGCTGTACATGGGTATATATGCTGTTCTTCTTTAAACATGTATATGGGTGTAAATATCTGGATGTGGCTTGTGTGTGTGGCCAGGGATTTGCTTCTGTACATGTGTTTTATGCAAGATGTATACCTGCTTTCAGCCATTCATTACTATGGTGGGGGATATGTTCAACATATATAAATCCATCAGTGGTTCATATAGTGAACTCGGTGTGGAGTTATTCACCTTGAGATCATCACAGAGGACAAGGGGGCACTCTTTACATCTGGAGGAAAAGAAATTTAATCTCCAACACAGGTTTCTTCACAGTGAGAGCTGTGAAAATGTGGAATAGACTCCCTCAAGAGTTGGTTCTGGCCAACTCAGTGGATTGCTTTAAATAAGCCCTGGATTCTTTCCTAGATACACAGAATATAACTGGATACTAACATTTATAGGTAAAGTTGATCCAGGGAATATCCGATTGCCTCTAGGGGGATCAGGAAGGAATTTCTTTCCCAGCAGGAGCAAATTGGATCATGCTTTGCTGAGGGTTTTTTTTTTGCCTTCCTCTGGATCAACTGTGGGTATAGGATTTTAACTTTTTTTTTTTTATTATTTAAATGGTTGAACTGGATGGACTTTTGTCTTTTTTCAGCCAGACTAACTATGTATGTGTCACCCGGGCACAGAAATATTACCACATTTTACGCTGTACAGCCTCATGTGCTTGTGTGCATGAAGCCTACAAATTGCTAGCAGTGACCTTGGTTAACTTGCATCGACCTTGCTTAGACAGAGAATGGCACATTGGGAAATAATGCTGATCCACAGTACCAGCTCTCTGATATCCATTACTAAGCTGTCACTTGGGCGGTATGATTTCATTTTTGGTCAGTTTGTTGCAGGCAGTGGAAGAATCACTGAAATTCAGTTTCTCTCGGATCATTAATAGTAGTCGTTGCCTGAAACATTGCTGAAATTCAACCGCTACCAAGGAAATGGCAAGGTGAAGATTAAATGTTATCCAGGAAATGTTTAATGTTTCAGGTGATGTGTAGCCAGCAGTTGAATTGCCTATCTGACATGAATTTAATGCTGGCATGTAGCAATTGCGGGAGCGGAGAGATGATTTTGTACAATAACTTACCACTTCTTACTCCCTTTTCAGATCCCCATCCTGGAGCATGTATAGGTTCTGTGATATGTATATATATATATATAATTTTTTTTTTTTTTTTTTTGAAGACCTCTTTAGGTCTGACACCTAGTGACAGGGTATGGTAGTACAAACAGCCAGATTTAAGGCTTTGGTTCAAATTGTTAGGCATACTAAAGGATGTCCAGAAGTCAGTGTTATGCCAACCTTATATTGTCGTCTTAACGCTCCATTGTTGCTTGAAGAACTTACTATATAGAGCAAAACAGTACTGCTTTGCCTATGACCATCACCGAGTGGATTTCATTATTAGCTGGTAATGGCTATTTTTGGTTTCAACTGTTTGCCACTGAGCAAATGGTGGCACTGTTGATTGTGCTCCTATTTAAATGGCAGTGTACCCCAGAGTTGATGGGTCATAACACTGAAGGTTAAAAATCATGAGTATATGTACAGATCTGTACTTGTTTTGCATGTTTTGTTCTCGAGATGCATTAAGTTGCTATAGAGAGGTTATTGCTCTGTAATAGGATTAGTAAGGATTAACAAGTTTTTTTACGTTCCTAAGCATTTTTCTTTTTCCCTTCCCAGGGCCTGATGCTTGATCACCTCAGTAGTGGTTCACTGTCTTCTGTAAGTTCAACTCTTTGTAAATGTCTGATTTTGGTACGGAATCTCTGCACAAAACTCTTTTAAAACAGTTTCTTTATAAAACTTTGAAATACCAGACTGTCATATCACTTTCAGTCCTGTCGCTGGTGACAACTTGCAAGTGACAAGATCAATATAAAAGAACAGGGACAACACCCATGGAGTTTCTCCCTTGCAGGCTGCATCAGGGAGGCGTTGTTTCTCTTACTGCAGATTCTGCAGCATTTCCACCGACGAGGGAGCAATGCAGTAAAAACAAGTAGTTGCTGTGTAATCACTAGCGGGACATAGGCCTTCCCACATGGAAGAAAAATAATTTTAACCACTTGCCTACTGGGCACTTATACCCCCTTCCTGCCCAGGCCAATTTTCAGCTTTCAGTGCTGTCGCACTTTGACAATTGCGCGGTCATGCAACATTGTACCCATATGAATTTTTTATCATTATTTTGAGACAGAGCTTTCTTTTGGTGTTATTTAATCACCTCTGGGTTTTTTTTAAATTTTTTTGCTAAACAAACCAAAAACTGAAAACTGAAAATTTTATAATTTTTTTTTCTTTGTTTTTGTGTTAAAATTTTGTAAACAAGTGATTTTTCAACTTCACTGATATGCGCTAATGAGACTGCACTGATGGGCACTGATAGGTGGTACTGGTAGGTGGCACTGATGGGCCTTGACAGGCATCACTGATGGGCATTGAAAGACAGCACTCTTATATGGCACTGTTGAGCGGTACTGACTGGCACTGATATGTGGCACTGAAAGGCAGCTCAGATGAGCACTGATATGTGGCATTGATGTGCACTGACAGCTGGCATTGATGGACACTGACAGGTGGCACTGCTGGGGCTACACTGATCATCAGGGCACACTCATGATCAGTGCCCTGATGATTAGTGTACATGTCCCCTCCGAGGAATGCTGATTACTGGCTCTCCTCTCCTCTTGAGCTGTCAGCGTGACACCTCATGAGGAAATGCCAATAACCAGCATTTCCCTATTTACATGAGATCAGCTGTGATTGGACACAGCTGATCACATGACCGAGCCGACATCTTTAGCTCTTTCCATTGATCGGTGATCCGCTGTGTTCGAAGGATAGAGCGCACCGCCGATCGCCGCGCTACGCGCTCCCGGAGCCGCGCATGCGTGGTTAGAATGGGAAGATGTCATATGACGTCCTCCCAGAATGAGAGAACCACCTTGCGCCCATCATTTCCTTATATGGTGGTTGAATATATTTAAAAAAATATTCTTCCCAAATATATTGACATATATTTGAAATACTACAATTTTGGATGTATTCAATATATTTCAATATCTATCTCTCGGTCTATCTCTGGTGCGCGCTCTCTCTCTCGCTCTCTCTCTCCTGTACTATTGTATGTTGAAATGCGTTTTTATATATTACAAAATATTTTAAAAAAATATATATTTTTTTTACATCTAAAAAAAAAGTAATTTTAACATGTTTTTACATAAATTTGTAAATGTATTCCACAAAGGTAGATTAAAATGTCTTTTTAAAGACCTACAGTATATTTGAAAATGTATTTTTAAACATTTTCAGATTTTGTAATATTTAAAAAAAGCATTTCAACATTTGTGTGTGTGTGTGTGTGTGTGTGTGTGTGTGTGTGTTTGGAAAGAATATTTTAAAAAAAATATGTTTTCTTCCATGTGGATTAAAGCAGAACTCCAGGTTTCCGTGAACTTTAAATGGTTCATTTGAACCAGGCTTGGTCCAAATGAACGATTTACTTCACAGATGCAGTGCCTGAGTGCGCTCTATAAACTGTATGTAACCTCGCCTACAAAACTGTTCCTGCAGCGGGACAGGAACTTCCCTTCCCAGTCCCTGAATAAAATCTTGTTGGGCTGAGTGCTGCTACAAAGCTTCCTCTGTCTGATATGGAGACAGTGACATCTTCTGCCCGCTTCTCTGTCTTAGCCTATCGGACATTCATTCCTAAAATACAAAGCTCCCATACCTTCTTTTGGGAGGACACCCACCACAAGTAGTTCCTGCCCATTTAAATGAAAGAACCTGTAATGTGGCCTTATCTCCATCTCCTTCTCTTGTATAGTTAGAATAGTCTACTTATACTGATCAGGTAGAACAGTTTGAATGATTTGTTCAGTTGGTCTCTTAATTACCTTCATTGTCTCCTGCCTCAATACAGTCCTGATGCTTTTTCTGGGCTTGGAGAGCAGAGTCCACATGCTCATGACTGTGCATAAGGAAGGCAGTGTTTAACAGAAAAGTAATTAAAGGCTTTTTTTAATTACATTAGCGTTTTGTCACCTTAGCAGCTTAAAGAGGGCATCTAGCACTGAGCTCAGGACATAAGTAGAGGCTTACAGCTGGGCTCAGGAGCAGAAGTCTTGACCTTAAAGGGAAGAATATAGATTATAGGATGAATAATTATCTCTGTCCAGAGTTCTTTGAAACAATACTGCGCATAAAAACTCACAGCAACACATTGGAAATGCATGTGAATTTATCATACATTGTTATGCTCTTTGCGTTGGTTTTTTGCAAATTGGTGTGCGTTTTCATGTCATCTATTGTGTCGTGACAGATCCCTGGAAGGGTCAAAATATGAAAAGTTTTTTTTATATTTTTGTTTTCAGTTGCTTCGCATTTATATGCATTGAGGTGCATTGCATTAAAATGCTGACTTGTTACATTTTAATGCAACTCGCCTGAACCCAAGGTTGTTGTATGAAAGAGGCACATAGAAAACCATTTTCTATGTGCTAATGCAATTGCCTCTTTTCCATTGTGGAAAATCACAGGTCATTGCATATAGTGTGAATGAGCCCTAATACTAGGAAATTTGTTACATAAAGTTTGTCTGAAATTGTTCCAAGTGTAAAGGCACATTCATACAGGTGCTCAGCCCTGTGCAGCAGCCAGAGATGTCTGTTTACTTTGTTTTTCAGCATTGAGCCATGTGCAGGCAGCCCATAGAAAGTGAATAGGAGCACATTGGCACCATGGACCTCATGCACAGTAGAGTTTGAGAGGCGTGCAGTGAGAGGTGCACAGATATAGAATGCACAGGCTCTGCGTCCAGGTGTGTGCACCTGTACCTGTCAAAAATGGCTGTGCCAAGTCCGTAAAGCCAATGTGCTCCCATTTATATTCTATGGGCTGCCTGGATGTGCAACATCCTGAAAAAGACAAACCTCTCTGACCACTGCAGAGGGCTGAGCACCCTTATGAATGAGCAGCTAGGGGTGAAACTCTTGGTCACATTTTATGTCCTGAAAAAGAAATTCTGCCAGTCTAAAGTTAGATCCTCGTCTTCTTCAACAGGTAATTGCGCAAGCAAGAGTTTAGTTCTGGCCTTATGTATGAAAGCCTAGAGGGAATCTGGGGCTGGGATTAATCCAGGAAAGGAAAGCAACTCAGATCTTCTATTACTTCTGTTCATCCCAGCAAGGCTAAGAATATTGCTTTAACATTTGAGTAGTGGAAATTCTGATTACATATGCTCATTCATGGCTTGTTGATGATTTTTCCTTTTTTCCTTTCCTTTCAAACTTTGAAGAAATCCGTATAAGCAATCTTACTTTATTATGGAGTTACAATGACAGGGGAAAATGTGGGCACTGAAATACCGAAGAATTTTTATAAAAGGACTCTCCATGACTAGCTATGAATTTGTGCACATAGAGCTCCTTAGTAAATTCTAGTACTTGCATGTATTACAGACTAGGATGTGTTTCCTTTTATACACTCACTGGCCACTTTATGTACAACTGTTCAATTGCTTGGTAACACAAATTGCTAATCAGTTGGCAGGAACTCAATGCATTTAGGCATCTAGATGTGGTGAAGACAACTTGCTAAAGTTCAGAGTATCAGAATGGGGAATAAAGGGGATTTAAGTGACTTTGAACGTGGGATAGTTGTTGGTGCCAGATGAGCTGGTCTGAGTATTTCAAAAACTGCTGATCTCCTGGTATTTTCACGCACAACTATATCTAGGGTTTTCAGAGAATGGACAGAAAAAGAGAAAATATCCAGTAAGTGGCAGTTTTGTGGACAAAAATGCATTGTTGATGTCAGAGGAGAATGGGCAGACTGGTTTAAGATGATAGAAAGGACACAGTAACTCAAATAACCACTCGTTTGCAGCCAAGGTGTGCAGAATACAGTCTCTGAACGCACAACACATCAAAATCTTGAAGCAGATGGGGTACAGCAGCCGAAGACCACACCGGGTGCCACTCCTGTCAGCTAAGAACACTATACAGCAGTTACAATTTACACAGGCTCACCTTAATAGAAGATTGGAAAAATGTTCCCTGGTCTGAGGAGTCTCGATTTCAGCTGCAACTTTCAGACAGTTGGGTCAGAATTTGGCTTCAACACAAGGCAGGATGGATTCATGCTTTCATGTTATCAATGGTTCATGAATATGCAGCTGACAATCTGCAGCAACTACGTGATGCAATCATGTTAATATGGAACAAAATCAGAGGAATGTTTCCAACACCTTGTTGAATCTATGCCACAAAGAAGGCAATTCTGAAGGCAAAAGGGGGTTCAACCTGGTACTAGGAAGGTGTACCTAATAAAGTGGCTGGTGAGTGTAGTGGAGTGGTTTGTTGGTCACTGGTTCTAGTAAATGCTAAATAGCAGCACATGACAGGCTACATGTGATAAGTAGAGAACATGCAAGCATGTCTTCTTTCAGCATTTGACACGTTAGCCAGCATTGAAGAGTATATGGAACACTCCCTGTCCATCATAGACTGCACACAATCTAATGTACCTGCCACACTCCTACATGCCATCTAGTGTTTAGTTGCTCACAGACCTGTCAACCTAGCAGTTTGTTGGTTTAAAGTAGTGTATGTCAACCCCGGGTTCTGAAAGTACGGGACCCTGTTTGTTCTAGATCATTGTCTTTAGTTGGCATAGTGCGGGCAGACTGGCCAGCCACCAGCAACATAACCAATGACTCTAGTGCCAGGACACACAGCATTATGTATTGCTCTGGTCATCTTGACCAGCTTGCCCACACCTTGGCAATGGATGACTCTGAGCCAGGGCATGCAGGGCCGCCCCCCAGCATTCAGGGGAAGACAGAAGTCCACCTCCTCCTCCTTCTGCCCTCTGCTGTGCTGCTGATGCCAAAAGGTAGGGATCTACACAAAACAAGTCATAAACACAGATAGTGTCCTTGGTGGTAGTGGAACGCTCTTCAGGCTTTCTCAATAATTCAAACGCGTTAACAGTCGCGCACACTTTTTTTTTTTCTTTGTATTTTGTACACTTCCAATATATTGAGTTCTAGATACTGGGTACTTTTACTTTGGATTAGTGTACTCTTCTTTTATATTGCACTATGGACTAAGCTAAATTCTGTCCCTTATTGTATTAGTGCGCTCAGGTTTCCAATGCCATAAGATTATCTTTGTCAATTGGGAAATGTCAATAGTACACAAAAAATAACTAAAAATAGAAAATTCCCACATGCCTTCAGAAATATATATTTTTCCCATCCTTGTTTGTAAGAGCCAGATGAACAGGAAATTGTTTTTAGTCAGCTTTGAGCACTGTTCTTTTGAGATAACTACTTTTATATGAGCAATAAAAGCTTTTGTATTTGAATCCTTATATGCTTTTACATTGACAAACCCCATCTTAGATCCAGAAACCAAAAACGAATTTGCAGCTTACCAGTTCTTGGATGTGATGGCTGCTTTTATTTTTAATTTGTTTTAATTTTTTTTTTAGAATGTTCTTTCTCTTTCCTCTTTAATCTCGTGATCCAACCAGTATGTCCTTTTTCAACTTCCTTTAAGTGTGCCTTACCTGCTCTTCAATAACTACACATGTGAAGTGATATGTCTTTTATCAGTAATTATCTCTCCTCTATCAATAAATGCTGATTTGAATAAAAAAGTGTTAACTGATGAATCAAAGTCGAACTCCAGTTAAGTCTATCTAAGGGTACTTGCACATGGTACTGATGTTTGAACATCCGTATTTCTGGCTAAAAATGTTCTTGCATTTATTTTGCACTTTATTTGCGTGCATTTGT